AAAGAAAAGAAAAAGAAAAGCTCTTCTGTTGGGAGGGATTGGCTCCATGGCCTGGAGAGACACTTGAGGGCGATGGGGTGATTTAAGGACACAAAAGCCCTTTTTGGCTGCTGGAGCCGCGGAGCGGAGGAAGGCAGAAACTTTCAGCAAAATGCCAAGTGCCTCTCATCCCCAACCTCCCTGGTGCTTAAAAGAAAACAAGGGGAAAGACCTCATCAAGGTGCTGAGGCTGCTATGCATTGTAGCCTTCAGAGAAGAGGGCAACCTGGGGTCTCCGAGCCTCTTCCTCTGCCTGCCAAAGCTGGGGCAACCACCCCTGTAAGGGGACCACTTCACTCCCGGATGCCAACGGACCAGTGGTGAAATCCAAATTATTTTACTGCCGGTTCTGTGGGCTTGGTGGGCGTGGCAGGGGAAGCATACTGCAAAATCCCCATTCCCTCCCCACTCCTGGGGTAAGGATACTGCAAAATCCCCATTCCTCCCCCACTCCAGGGGAAGGATATTGCAAAATCCCCATTCCCTCCCCACTCCTGGGGGAAGGATACTGCAAATTCCCCATTCCCTCCCCACTCCTGGGGGAAGGATATTGCAAAATCCCCATTTCCTCTCCCACTCCAGGGGAAGGATATTGCAAAATCCCCATTCCCTCCCCACTCCAGGGGAAGGATATTGCAAAATCCCCATTTCCCCTCCCACTCCAGGGGGAAGGATACTGCAAAATCCCCATTCCTGGGGGAAGGATACTGCAAAATCCCCATTCCCACCCCACTCTGGGGCCAGCCAGAGGTGGTATTTGCCGGTTCTCTGAACTGCTCAAAATTTCTGCTACCGGTTCTGCCGAACCTGTCAGAAGCTGCTGGATTTCACCCCTGCAACGGACCCAGTCCGTCATTTTCTTGGAAACAAAGGCTCCGGCCAACAAGGTGGCCTCCTGGAAGCTAGGATAGATCTAGCAGAAGAAACCATGCTGACCTCTAGGCTTAGCAGTCGAGCAAGACTTTAAACCTGCCCCTCTTCCCTCTTTCAAAAGTGCTTTTTATTAGTCACGGACGTCACATGTTTTCAAAAGCCCAGAATTGGAATATCAGAATTTGAAGGGACCTTGGAGGTCTTTTAGTCCAACATCCTCCTCAAGCAGGAGACCCTATTATTTCGGATAAATGGCTGTCCAGCCTCTTCTTAAAAGTCTCCAGTGATGGTGCACCCACAACTTCTGGAGGCAGGTGGTCCACTCGTCGTTCTCACTGCCTTAAAATTTCTTAGTTCTAGGTTGCTTCTCTCCTTGGTTAGTTCCCATCCGTTGCTTCTTGTCCTGCCCTCAGGTTCTTTGGAGAATAGCTTGACTCCTTCTTCTTTGGGGCAGCCCCTCAAACATTGGGACACTGCTATCATGTCTCCCCTAGTCCAGGGGTCGGCAATCTTAAAACACTCAAAAAGCCATTTGGACCTGTTTCCCACAGAAAAGAAAACACCGGGAGTCACAAAAACCATTCCCTGACTATTTCTTGAGCGGCCACAAAACGAGCATATGAAGTTGAATTAAAAGTTCTGTTTTCTTCTGAAACTTTCCTTTTCTTGGATTTATCCATGGTTGGTCTACCGGGGGTTGAAAATCTCAATTATTCGCATGCTGGCGGGTGTCGCACATTGGCAGTTGTGACGCATATTTTGAGGGACAGGGAGCCGCAGCAGAGCAGATGAAAGAGCCACATGCGGCTCCAGAGCCCCAGGTTGCCGACTCCTATCCTAGTCCTTCTTTTCATTAAACTAGACATACCCAATTCCAGTAATTGTTCGTTATGTTTTAGCCTCCAGCCCCCTAATCTTTGTTGCTCTTCTCTTTCTAGAGTTATCTTTATTTATGTTCTGGTAACCAGAACTGGATGCAGGATTCCAGGTGCGGCCTTACCAAGGCATTATTAAGTGGTATTAACCCTTCATGTGATCTTGATTCTAATCCTCTGTTGATGCCGCCTAGGACTCAGTGGGACTCACGGCACAACTCCGAGGCTGCCAAGACACAGCTGGCAACTGAAGGCCCCAGGAGGCATCAGGCCAGAGACGGCTGTCTTGACGGAGCAAACCTCTGGCCGGAGCTTCTCACCTGGTCTTGCCATGAGGCTGATGGGAGTTGGTCAAAGCCTGGAAGGACCAAAGAAAAATACAATTTTGTTTCTAGGCCTGCTGCGTAATATATACATGGCTGGTATATATTGACATGCGAAAAGTAAAAAGTTGAGGCGATTATTGCTACTGTGCCAAAAGAAGTCAGAAGTCCCTTTCTTTCTGCTTCCCTTTACCCTATACATTTTCCTCTTCCCCTTTTTCTCCCATTGTTTTCATTTTTCTTTGTAGTCCGTATTTTGATCAACTTGACGAAAATATGACCATCAACAGGCCGGATATTACCAAGAGGAAGGGGCCAAGACAGTGAGGGTGAACCTTTCCCCGACCGAGTGCACGAATAACGCGCCGGAACCCCCCAAATTTATTTGTTGCATTTCTATGCCGCCCAACTCCCAAGGAACTCTGCAATGGGCGCACAGCCCCCATGCGTGCAGCCCCGCATGCATCCCACCAAGCGCATGGCCGTCCTGCACATACCCCACCCCATGCATGCGCATCCTCCCCCGCATGGGCCCCACCCTCCGCACATGCGTGGCAGAGATCCAATGACCAGCTGGCTGGCGGGAGGCGAGTGAGCATGTGCGGTGGAGCTGAACTGGGGCAACAGCTCGTGTGCCCACAGAGGGCACTGTGTGCCACCTCTGGCACTCGTGCCACAGGTTTGCCATCACAGGTCTAAGAGGACCTAGCCGCAGGGAAGACCAAGACTTTCCAATAAAGCTGAAGAGAAATGAAATGCCTCCCTTCACATTTCAAAGAAAAAGATGGTGTCAGGTTTCGGTGCTATCTTGAATAAACTTCATTCTCAAGTGCAAACTGTCTAATGAATCATTTTTATTTTAAGGATAGCAATATCCGACATTTCTGATTCAAATTGCAGCCAAACTGGCCCCTCCTTCCAACCCCCTCCTCTTCCGCTCTCCAACCCCAATGTCCCATTGGCCATCATACAGATCCATCTCTACATCCCGGCACGTTCTTTTCACAGGAATGTAGCCCCCATCCTCGTATCCCAGGAAACACTATCTGTAACATACAAAACTAGGTAAAAGTTCATCTTGTTATGTCAGCGCTGGAAGAAAGCCTAATTTGGAACGCTGACATCCGGCCCCTCTTCCTTCACTTCTGCGACATCACCTATCCCATAGGGAAAACACAACAAGATTAGTCTCATCAGCCCCTCCCTGGCTGTGCACCCCCCCCTCCCGGCTTTCCCGGGTGGTCTGCATGGAATTTTGCTATAAGGCGATCAGCTTGAATGTTTGCGCTCTTCACCCAGGAAGCCTCTGACAATGGGTAACCCTTCCATTTAATTAAGTACTGAAGGCGCCCCCTGTGCCATCTTGAATCAAGAATCCGCTGCACTTCGTAGTGCGTTTGGCCCCCAACAACCAGGGGCCCAGGGGGTTCACGTGGCGTTGGCCTTAAAGTAGACCCTACTACAGGTTTTAGAAGGCTACTGTGAAAAACGGGGTGAATTTTCCCCAAAAGCCGTGGCAACTGCAATTGCACTGTAACGGGGTTGATTATTTTTATTATAGGAAATGGTCCTATAAATTTTGGGCCCAATTTCCTGCTCGGGAGTCTAAGTCTCAAGTACTTGGTGGAGAGGTAAACTTTCTCTCCCAGCTGAAATGGTCTTTGGGGAGTTCGGTGCTTGTCTGCTTGTTCCTTATAAGATTGAGCCGCCTTTGCCAGCGCCCTCTTAACATTTTCCCAAGTTTGTCTCAACATTGCCATCCAGTCGGTCAAACTGACTGAGGAAGGGGGCTCCCTCGGGTATTCTGGCATGGGAACAAAATCCATGCCACTCACTATTTTGAACGGGGTTAGCCCCGTGCTGCTGTGGACAGCATTATTATATGCAACCTCCGCAAAAGATAGGAGGTCTGCCCAATTGGACTGCTGGTAGTCGACATAGCATCTTAAATACTGTTCTATCATAGCGTTCAGTCTTTCTACCCCCCCATTGGTGCTTGGGTGAAATGCTGAGCTGAGCCCTTGGGATGAACCTATGGCTCGTAGGAACTCCCTCCAGAACTTTGCTGTGAACTGGACCCCTCTGTCGGAAATGATTCTCCTGGGGACACCATGTAGGCGGTAAATGTGTTTCAGGAACAGTTTGGATAACTGACGGGCTGAAGGCAGTCCACTACAAGGAAAGAAGTGTGCCTGTTTGGAGAATAAGTCTATTACAGTCCAGATCACTGTATTTCCACTGCTCCTCGATAGGTCTACTATAAAGTCCATTGCAATCTCCTCTCTGTGCTGAGCTCTGGAGGGCCAGCCTTGGTGTTGATAGTCCTCTGCCTCGTCTCTCATCCTGGGGTGGGGAGGTGCTGCCTTGTCTGGGCTTCGCTGCCATTCCCATCCCCAGCTCGCCCTTCCCAATTCACTTAGGGGTTTTTCTTTATCTTTTACATTTGCAAAAGGAAATTCTGCCTCTAAGGCTTTTGGCACAGTCCCCGGGTACTTATCTGCGTCACGTTTCTTTGTTTGAAGTTCTGCGGGGAGGGAAGGCGGAGAAAGTTGAACCTTTGTATTTTCCAAGTTGGCTGGAATCACGACCGCTTCTGCTCCTCCCGTTTCTTGAAGCAGGCTTTCCTCCGAGAGCTTGGCTTCAGCCATAGTCCGTCCGACCAGATGTCTGGGAGGGAACGGGATGATTTAAACTCAGCCAGCCTGGCTTTGGAGGAGAGTTTGGCTGTCTGTCAGGTTTCGGTGCTATCTTGAATAAACTTCATTCTCAAGTGCAAACTGTCTAATGAATCATTTTTATTTTAAGGATAGCAATATCCGACATTTCTGATTCAAATTGCAGCCAAACTGGCCCCTCCTTCCAACCCCCTCCTCTTCCGCTCTCCAACCCCAATGTCCCATTGGCCATCATACAGATCCATCTCTACATCCCGGCACGTTCTTTTCACAGGAATGTAGCCCCCATCCTCGTCTCCCAGGAAACACTATCTGTAACATACAAAACTAGGTAAAAGTTCATCTTGTTATGTCAGCACTGGAAGAGAGCCTAATTTGGAACGCTAACAGATGGATTGTGTAGCTCAGGGTCGAACTGTGGGGTCCTTGTTACTCTCCGAGCTTGGTGGTTTTCTCGCAGGTGTATCATTACCAAAATAGGCAACACCATCAATGCTATCACCACCACTAGCACTGATGATGTTACCTAGTTTGGTAATACACTTGCAAGAAAACCACCAAGGACCCTACAGGTGGGCTCATGTTCATTTTGCATTTCCTAAACCCACAATTAGAGGGACGCGGTGGCTCAGAGGCTAAGACGCTGAGCTTGGCGATCGAAAGGTCGGCAGCTCAGCGGCTCGAATCCCTAGTGCCGCGTAATGGGGTGAGCTCCCGTGACTTGTCCCAGCTTCTGCCAACCTAGTAGTTCGAAAGCAGGTAAAAAATGCAAGTGGAAAAATAGGGACCACCTTTGGTGGGAAGGTAAGAGTGTTCCGTGCGCCTTTGGCGTTGAGTCATGCCGGCCACATGACCACGGAGACGTCTTTGGACAGCGCTGGCTCCTCGGCTTTGAAACGGAGATGAGTACTGCCCCCCCGTCAGGAACGACTAGCACATATGTGTGAGGGGAACCTTTACCTTTACCTAAAGCCACAATGCCATGAAAGGGGTTGCTTGAAAGCTCCGTGGTTCACCGAACAATAGCTGTCTGGCTCCCTTTTTGGCAGTCTTCCATGCGCTGGTTATTCTGCCCCACCTGAAAAGAAGCTTCTCCACAGACCAGAGAGCAGGCTGGGCAGGCCCCGCTCCTTGGAGCCCAGCAGGTGCTCCTTCTACCTGTCCAGGTGAGCATCAAGGAACAAGACCTCTTGAAACCGCCCTGACCCCCCACCCTCGTTATCGTTCTTCCCCCCCTTCAAAGTACAAAACGAGGACTCGTTGATTTCACAAATGTTTATTATGGCAATGCAGTTCCCCTTGCTCCAAAAACGATAAAAATTAAAAAAAAAAATGCTCTTGACATATGTCAACAGACAGGCCAGCCGTGGCTCAGACCGATGCACCCCTCCCTCCCTCCCACCCCACAGAAGCACTTGAAGAGAAGCCCCCGACCAGACCGCCAGCCTGTTTGCCAGGGTGGAGACCCTTAACGCTCTTTAATTTTTTTAAAAAAATGTCCCTTCTGAATGAGCTTTGATCCCACCCCCCGCCTCCATCCCACCCTCACCCACCCACCCATCCGAAAAAAACAACAACCCCACAATCCCCCAAGTTTAAATCAATGCCAAAATTGTGCTGATCACCCCACGGATGTCGACAGTTGCCGAGTTCGCTCTCCCGCCAGGTGGTCTTACAAGCTGGATGTGCTCAGACCCCCGCCCCCCTCCTAACCCGCAGGCTTGAGGGGGCTTCTCCCCTGGATCCCTTCCTGGGTAAGGAGGGGGGGCAGGAGGGATTCAAAAGCAGGACCCATCCGCAGAATGCTTCTCTTCCTGGGCACTTTTCTTGCGATGGCAAGCCGGGGTCGGGGAGCCCTCCCAGGGCTCCTGATCTGCCCACCAAGGAGCTGGGAAGAGCTGCCTTCTCCTGGGAGGGGGCTTGGCGGGGAGGGGGAAAAGCCAGGCAAAGAGAGAAAAAGAGGAGAGACCGAGAAAGCAGCCAAAGGCCGTGGTTACCCGTGGCAGAGTCACAATGCTGGTGGGAGGACGAGATCAAAATTTTCTCTGCCGTCGCACGAAGCAGAAAAGGGGGAGGGGGCGCAGGTTGAGGATGCCGACGTCCACGTGGCTGGTGGAAGCCTCCACGCTTCCTTTTCCACGTGTAAGGCAAGGCAGGGCCAGGCTGGGAGAAAAAACAAACAAACAAACCACGGATTCCCAGGCCCGCCTCGCCCCTTCTTCCCGGCTGTCGGAATAAGCTAAGCGCATGCAACCGAAGGACGACGACGAAGTCTGTTGGTGGTGCTAGAGAGAATAAAGAAAGGCGCTGGGTTAGGGACCGCTAACCGATATCTGCCGCTTCGGTTATACCGCATGGGGCAAAGCCAATCCTAGCGTCCTCTCCTGCATCGCACTTTCTACCGGGAAAGAGGGAAGGGGGGGGGGGGGGGAAGAAGGCCAGGGCGGAAAAGTTCACCCGAGTCAGTCCCCTGGTTAAAAAAAAAACGAAGAAAGTTAGCATGGGTTTTTTTTTTGTTTGTTTGTTTTGTTTTAATTTTTCTACCTTTTTTTCCATCTAGAAAGCCCCTTTTTCCGTTCTGCAGGAAGTGACACGAAAGAAGCCGGCTGGCCTTTCTCTTTTGCAGGGATTCTCACCCGCACTCAGCATCCGGGAAAGGGGTGAGGGAAGACAGCATGCAAAGGCTCCGGGGCTGCGGAGAAGGAAGGTGTGGTTGTGACAGCTTAAGAGGAAAAGAATGATTTTTTTTAAAGGTGGAGAAAGAGAAAAGCGGGGTGGGGTGGGGAGCAGGAATAAATAGTTTCCCGTCCTAAAACCTTCCCGGTTCCCTTGCGACTCTGGCCATCCTTTCCAAAGTTTCGACGTCCGACCAGCACCCCAGCTTCCTCTGTCTCAACCCGGAATGCGGGGAATCCCCCCCTCAAAACGAGTCAATTTCGCCCGAAAAACACAGTAAGGGAGGGGGGGAAAAGGGAACATTTAAGTTAAAAACGAAGACGACAGCGTGCCCCCTTTCCCCACTGCTGGGTTTCCAAGAGAGCCTCCTCTGGAGATCCTGATCGATTCCCGCCAGGATCACGCAGGACCCTTGGGGAGGTTTCTTCCTGCAGTGAGGAGACGGGAGGGTGGGATGGGGGGCAAAAATCAAGGGAATTTCCGTTTTGTTTCATTGTTAAACGCGGGAGCTGAGCCGCCGGCGCCTTTTCTGACGAGAAACCAAACGAGCGTCGAGAACGGAGCCCCCCTCCCGCCCGCCGCTGTCTCTCCGGGGCACGGCCAAGGTGCGCCACTCTCCCCCAAGAAGGGCTGCGATGTCCCCCACGCGCGCCACCTCCTCTGCGGGGAGGGGAGGTGATGGCGGGGCAGTTGCGTGCGTGTCGTGTGTGTGCGCGCCCCCCGCGCCTGTGTGTTTGGCGCACACACCCCGGTTGCTCGGGTTTTTTCTTTTGGTGGGTTGCCACCGCGGTTGCGTCGTGTCCAAGTGAGCGCCTGCGGTTTGACGTTCTTTCGTTCCAATGCGGTGCGTCCAGAGACGGGCAGACGGAGCTTCAACCAACCCGGTGGTCCCGAGGGGCTCAGCCCATCTCCTTCCACTGCTTGTAAAACTCCACAACGTTCTGGATCTCAATGCTGGCGCTGGCCGCTGCTTGGATGGCGGACTGAGGAGGAGAGGAGAGGAAGAATTCCAGTGAGCAGGCAGAGAAGGTCCCAGCCTTGCAGCTCAGCCGCCCTCAAGGCCCCAGAGCTCATCTAGTCCAGCCCCCTGCAGGAATCCGCTGCTGTTGCCATCCTGCGCAAATTGTCAATCTTTCTAGTTAGAAGGGCGTTATTGTTTTTTGTATGGGTTTTTTTTTATCCCAGTAAGCTGCCTGCAGTCACTGAGAGTGATCCAGGCAGCTATATAAATTTTCTTAAATTAATAAAGCTCATTTTTTTTTATTTTTTATTTTTTAATTTATTTTTATATGCCGCCCTTCTCCGGAGACTCAGGGCGGCTTACAATGTGCTCAGCAATAGCCTTCATACTTTTGTATATTTTATACAAAGTCAGCTTATTGCCCCCACAAACCGGGTCCTCATTTTACCCACCTTAGAAAGGATGGAAGGCTGAGTCGACCTTGAGCCTGGTGAGAATTGAACTCGCAGTAACTGCAGGCAACTGGATGTTAAATGCTGCCTTAGTAGGAGGCATTAGCCTCCTACGCCACTCAGGCTCCTCATCATTTGTCTTCCAACAAGGCACTTTTGGGAAGCGGTAGTGGCAATGGGGAAGACCATCATTATTTTGAGAAGTTTATTTTGATTTGTCTTTCATAGTAAGGAAAGTCTAGGGCAGGGGTGTCATACTCAAGGCCCGCAGGGGTGCTTAGATCTGGCCTGCAGTGCCTCCACCAGGAAAAATGGGGCCGGGGGGGAGGGGGGGGAGAAGAGAGAGCGAAAACAAAAACAAAAGGAGAAATGTTTCTTTCCCTTTTGCATTTTTTCAGCATCCAAGAATGGACAGGAAAAGAGAAAGACGAAAGACAAAGAAAAAAGAAAACAAAAAAAAAAGAAAAAAGAAATGAAAAAAAGAAGAAAAAAAAGAAAGAAAAAAGAAAGAAAACAGAAAAAAGAAAGGAAAAAAAAAAGAAGGAAAGAGGGAAAGGAAAAAGAAAGGAGAATGAAGAGGGAAGAAAAAAGAAAAGGAAGGAGATTAGAATGAGAGCGAGGGAGGGACTGAGGGAAGTCCCGCCTTAGCCATCACAGGCGCCCCTCCCAACATGAGTGACAGAGCTGGCCACGCCCCCCCTGACCTCCCCCCCCCAGGTGAAGCACAACCCCGATGCAGCCCTCAATGAAACCGAGTTGGCCACCCCTGGTCTAGGGTTTCCTGCCTGAGAAGGGGGTTGGACTAGAAAACCTCCAAGATCCTTTTCCAACTCTCTTTGTCATTCTATTCTAGGCCGGACACCTACCTGCATGGGAGCAGAAAGTTTGCTGGGATCCTCGAGTTGGAAGCCGGTGATGACGGTCACCATGCCAGCCGTGTCGTCTTCGCTGCCTCCCTGAGAGGCGGTCAGCTGCTTACAGCTGTCCAAGATCTTATAGAGATTCCTGGGAAGGAAGGGAGGAAGGTTGAAACAAGGCAGCAGGGGAGAGAGAGAAAACCTGTTGGCAAAAGCACCCCCGGGTACAGCTAGTCCTCGAGGTACGACCACAACCGAGCCGAACGTTCACGTTGCTAAGCGAGACATATTTGTTAAGGGAGTTTTGCCCCATTTTACGACCTTTCTTTCCTCATTTTTTTTTTAAGCGAACCAATTGATAAAAGTTAGTAACCCCGTTGTTAAGTGAATCGGGCTTCCCCATTGACTAGCCTCAAAACGGACGCTATAGAGCATTGCACACCAGAACAACTAGACACAAGAACAGTTTTTTTCCCAAACCCCATCCCTCTGCTAAACAAATAATTCCCTCAACACTGTCAAACTATTTACTAAATCTGCACTACTATTAATCTTCTCATTGTTCCCACCACCCATCTCCTCCCACTTATGACTGCATGACTGTAATTTTGTTGCTTGCATCCTTACGATATTGATAATATTTCCTGATTGCTTATTTGTACCCTATGACTATCATTAAGTGTTGTACTTTATGATTCTTGGTGAACGTATCTTTTCTTTTATGTACACTGAGACCATATGCACCAAAGACAAATTCCTTGTGTGTCCAATCACACTTGGCCAATAAAAAATTCTATTCTATTCTATTCTATTCTATTCTATTCTATTCTATTCTATTCTATTCTATTCTATTCTATTCTATTCTATTCTATTCTATTCTATTCTATTCTACTCTACTCTACTCTACTCTACTCTACTCTACTCTACTCTACTCTACTCTATCCATCCATCCCATCCCATCCCATCCCATCCTATCCCATCCTTCTATTCTACTCTACTCTACTCTACTCTACTCTACTCTACTCTACTCTACTCTACTCTATTAACTGTGGGCTGAAGGAACAAGTCTCAACTGCACCGCTAAGCCTAAATCTTGGTAAGATCGCCTACCAGGGGTCTCGGTGTCATGATATTTATTTAGTTCCAGGCAATTGGATTAGAAGCAACTGTAATAAAGGGGGAAAGGAAGGGGAAGGAGAGGAGTGGAAGGAGAGGAGGAAAGAAGAAAGTTGAAAAGAATAGAAGGGAGGGAAGGAAGGATAAGAGGGGAGAAGGAGAGGAATGGTTGTTGTGGAAGACGGGAAATATGGAATGGTAGAAGAGCAACTCCGAATGTACTTTAAAGTTTTAGGATGAAGAATGAACCAATATGGAAACCAAAAGATAATCTATGTGATAAGAATGGTTATTGTACGTTATATATGTTTTATGAGAAATAAAAATAAAAAACTTTTATATATATAAAAAAGAAGCAATTGTAATAATACCAAAATTAATTAAAGCCCGGCTATGTTGCAGGTCCCATTTTACTCAAAGAATATTCAAGAAAAATTCAGAATTGGAAAGCAAAAGTTGTTACCAAGAATATGATTCTACAGTGTCATTGTTTTCCATTTAGCCCGAATCAAATGAAATTTGTGAATGGCAACAAAAAGCACTTTTGGTATCGTTAGTTTATCACCGTAAAACTACTACTACAAAACATACAGTCCCTTGTGAAAAGCCACTCAAATCTGAGGATTTATTTCAGAAATTCCAAAATCCATCTTAGATACTGGAAGAGGCAAAGTTGTTGTTGTTTTTTTTAAATCCTTACATATTTGCATCAATGGGAGATCATAACGTCTCATAAAACATAAAGCCTTTAAAAACTAGTTGATTAAAACAAGGAAATTTACAGCCTACCCTGGGGTAGGGGGTTTGCAGGGGTTCGGGAGAACCTCTAGCTAAGATACTGTGCAGTTCTGAGAACCCCCAAATCCCACTCCTGGCTGGCCCCGCCCACCCTGCCCCGCCCCTCCCAGGAGTCCCCACACAGTCTGTTTTGGATGCAGGTAAGTGCAGGGTGCGTGGGAAGGCTTGGGGAAAAAAATGGGCCTACTAGAAGTTCAGGAAGGCTGGAAATGGACCCGTTTCCAGCCTCCAGAGGGCCTCTGGAGCCTGGGGAGACCATTTTCACCCTCCCGGAGGCTCAAGGAAAGCCTCTGGAGCCCGGGGAGGGCAAAAATGCCCCCTCCGCTATGGTGCAAGAGGCCAACTAGGCCACGCCCACCCAGCAACCGGCAGAGAACCCCTTGCTAAAATTTTTGAAGCCTACCCGTGAGATCCCCTTATATTTGCTAGCATTATTCACCAAGAAGATTACTGTTGAGTTGTAGGAAATCAGCTGCTTTATATAGTAGGTGCAAGACAAGTAAAAACTATGCTCTAAATATAGTACACAGTGTTCCTACAAAATACCTTGAGAAGCAATCAACTGTATTCATTTCCTTTAGAATAAACTTGCTGAAACCCAAAGAATTAAGCTAGCTCTAGCTTACTTTCATTTCGACGGATATTCGCAGGACTGGATCCCTGCGTTACATCTTAGCAAAAGCTGTCTAATATGGCATGTCAAATTTTGCTTCAAATAATATGATTACAGTTTTTACACAGCGTACACAGGAAAACCAACATAAACCAACAATCTAAAGAAATATTAAGGCATAAAAGGAGGATAGAGATAGAATTGTGACAAGGAAGGAGGGAAGGGAGGGAGGGAGGGGGGAAGGGAGGAAATGAATAGAGGGAGGGAGGGAAGGAAGGAGGAAGGAAGGAAATGAATAGATGGAGGGAGGGAGGGAGGGAGCGAGGTGGGAAGGAAGGAAGGAAGGAAGGAAGGAAGGAAGGAAGGAAGGAAGGAAGGAAGGAAGGAAGGAAGGAAAACACATAGCTAATAGTTAACTGGACAAAATTACTTCACTACCTCAAATCTTTGCCCTGGTTCTCACTGGCTCCTCCATAACCAAGGGGGAAAAAAAGACTGCATAAGTGCTAGAATTTGAGAAATGACAATTTTCATGAAGCGCACAGGAAAATGAGGCTCCATAATTGTTCTCACATGACGCAGATCGGTTTCCTTAATAAAGCCAGGTCAGTATCGGGCACAGACAAAATGGGAAATTAGAAGGTTAAGTTCCAACTAGCCCTTCAGAGCAAGAGTTGACATCCTTCCACTAATAAACATATCTGCCACTATTAGCAATTTAAGCATAATATAATTATAGTTGGACTGGACTTGGGAGGGAAAAAAATACATTTTCTTTTGCCTGCATTCTCAAGAATTGGGGGTGTCTCTTCTTACTTGCATGGATCTTTAAAAAGTACGATTAGAAAGAAGACCCCAAAAGGACAGATCTACAAAGACAGAACGAAAAGAACACCATAATTGGTGGGTTGGTAGAAGATTTTCAACCTTTCTTAAAGTGGACATCCGGAAAAATAAAGCTATAAGGAAATATTCTGTTGCTGGTGTCCCAAAATGCTTATTTTTCCCTTCCAAAGGGCAACTGGACTTCATCTTTCCTTGGAGACATTTTGCTCCTCATCCATTTCAGCAGTTCCAAGAAAGTTCCACACCCATCTCTACTATTCAGGTGACCCTGAGGACACAGATAAACCTCCAAGTCACCTCAACGAGTCTCCAAAAGAGTGATAACCACCAGATGACGGCAAGGAATATACATCCGACCATCCTCCATCATCCAGCCAGAACTGAAGAAGCTTCTTAGATGAGAAGCGAAATGTCTTCTCATCTAAGGTGGGTTTCACATAATTTTACCACGGGTTTGCCACACACCAAAAAATGTGTGAGCACACCAGGGGTGGGTTCTACTTACCTTTACTACTGGTTCGCAACGGGCTCGCAGAAGCTTTTGCGCGTGCGCAGATCGCTGTTGATGACATCCGGGGCGGTGGGCGGGGCCTCCCAACAGTTTTACTACCGGTTCTTGCGAACCGGTCTGAACCAGGGGCAACCCACCATTGGCGCACACCTTCTGTGTGTATATATATATATATATGTATGTATCTTTTTTCTTTTTTCGTAGGCTTTTATGTGCATATTCTTTCTAGCCAGTTTACGTAGGTAAAACCTGGCTAGAAAGAATATGCATATATATATATATATATATAAAATCAGATTTACATACCGCCCTATCTCCCGAAGGATTCAGGGCGGTGCCTATATATATAGAATTTGCTCCTGGAAGCACGAAGCCGAGAACACCAGCCTGAAGATGACAAATGAGACTTCGTCGAAACGTTGCCAAGACACTTCCAATTTTACGTGGGAGAAGACCCGAATAACCAAAGACCTACATACAAACACACGCAAAAACCTGAGAAAACAAATATATATATTGAAGTGATGTCCCGGTGCCTGGAGGCCGTACGGATCTGGATGGGGAGGAACAGGCTCAGGCTCAACCCATCCAAGACCGAGTGGCTGTGGTTTCCGACGTCCCGATATAGCCAGTTGACGCCATCACTGACTATTGGGGGCGAATCACTGGCCCCCACGGAGAGGGCTCGCAACTTGGGCGTCCTCCTGGATTCACGGCTGTCTTTAGAAGAGCACTTGACGGCCGTGACCGGGAGGATTTTTTATCAGGTCTGCCTGATTCGCCAGTTGCGTCCCTTTCTGGATCGGGACTCGTTACGCACAATCACTCATGCCCTCGTCACCTCCCGCCTGGACTATTGTAATGCTCTCTACATGGGGCTCCCCTTGAGGAGCACCCGGAGGCTCCAACTGGCAGAGAGTGTGGCCGCGCGGGTGGTAATGGGAGCGACATGGCGCTCCCATGTAACACCTCTCCTGCGCGAGCTGCACTGGCTCCCGGTGGTCTTCCGGGTGCGCTTCAAGGTTTTGGTTACCACCTTTAAAGCGCTCCATGGCTTAGGGCCTGGTTATTTACGGGACCGCCTACTACCACCAATAGCCTCCCACCGGCCAGTACGCTCTCATAGAGAGGGACTCCTCCGGGTGCCGTCAGCCAAACAGTGTCGACTGGCGGCGCCTAGGGGGAGAGCCTTCTCTGTGGGGGCACCTACCATCTGGAATGAGCTCCCCCCGGAGATACGGAGGATCCCGGATCTGTGCTCCTTCCGCCATGCTGTGAAGACCTTTTTATTCCATCAAGCGGGCTTGGCCTGATCTCTTCCCTTTTAAATACGTAAATTTTAATCTGTTTTTAAATTATTGGGGCATTTTAATTTGTCTGGGCCA